CTGACCTCTCCTTCTGCTTATGTCTTGCTGCAGCCCCCTGCGCCTCCTCCCACGGTTCTCCTCCCCCTGACTCCTAAGATCGGCATGGGGAAGCCGGCCATCTCAAAGAGGAAGTTCTCCCCCGGCAGAGCTCGGCTCAAGCAGGTGTGTTCCAGACATGTTCTGATGTCCGTTTGATGAAAAATCTGAGAACACGCTGACGTTCTGTAGACGTTCTGCAGACGTTTGTCGGGTTCCTCAGGAGCCACGTGTTTTTATCGAGTTAGTTGTGGGATCGCTCCTTATTTCACTAACTAGCTCCTAACAGACCTTGAAGGCAAAGCTCTGCTGCATGTGCTGCACAGCCTGGAACAGTGAGTCTCCCTTCACAAGTTATCTCTGTCTCCGTCTGATGTCCAGTGAAAGGCTCTCTCCAAGTTTTTACTGTCTCTGCTCCACCATCTCCGGCCTGTCTGAAATGTTGACGGCTTAAAATACGGACGTTGGTGAAGAGATTTGTGGATTTACTTCATTGATCCCTCACCGGGGATGTTCACGTTACAGCAGCTGGAAACAGGCGAGGCTGAAAGAAGCCGGACCAGAATTAAACAGCACAGTCAGGCTTAGAAGTGGAGCTATAATAATAAAGGTGTCCTAGAGACAGTAAACCAGGCAGGAGGAGTCCACGCCCCCATGTACACATCTGACTTGATGAATTACATGAACCGGCATGACATGGAGGAAGGCGTACACACAGCTCTGTCATAGCAGTCAAAAACATTAGTGGGGAAAAGATTTATCAAATGCTTCAGGAGGTTTCTTCTTTTAATTTCCCATCGACCCACTTTCAGCAGGTTTTTTCTCACGTTAACCCAGTAGAACCGGTGTCGGTGCTGTGTGTGGTACGTCTGTCTCATTTTATATTCCCGCCGTCACACACACTCCTGCCAGCCTCTCCACAGTCGTTCTGTCCAGAGCTGCTCAGGTGACCTGCTGAAGGCTCCAGATGTTTTCCATGCTGCACACACACTGAGTGTCCCGGTGTAGGTTGCAGAGCGGTGTTCCACAGTGGAACCAGACTGAGACTGGAGGAGCTGAGCCGCCTCACTCAGACAACCGGGACACCTTCATCAGCCTCCTCCTC